CCCACTTATTGGATTCAAGATTACTTTGATTTTGGAAACGAACAACTTTTTTCTAAAACCATCTTAGTTTATGATTGTTGCAGTTATGTCAGTTGGCAGAGCAGAACCCTGATGTGCAGTTTCTTCAGGTGAATTACGAGGAGCACAAGTCCATGTGTTACAGTCTCGGTGTCCATGTCCTCCCGTTTTTCCGATTCTACCGAGGCGCTCATGGTCGTGTTTGCAGCTTTAGCTGTACCAATGCCACGGTTCGTTCTTGTCCATTTTAAATCAAGAAACAACCAATCAGCAACACCATGCGTAGGTCTGACTTTGATTTTGATTTGTTGTTTTCTTTTTAGATCAAGAAATTCAGAGACGCATTGGCAAAGCATACTCCAGATAGGTGCAGCCTCGGTCCGACCAAAGGCCTTGAAGAGAAAGAGCTTGTGGCACTTGCAGCCAACAAAGAACTCAACTTTAGTTACACACCAAAGATTGTACCTGTTGAGGAAGAAGCAGCCTCTCCCACTTCAAACCCAAGTCTCCCTGTTCCTCATCCATCGATGAGTGCCAGTGACGAGAAGACATTGGTCTCCGCAGGGAGATGATCTGGCGGTTCTGAGAGCGAATAAACATTTTCTCTGTACAGTTTGCGTGATAATAGTACTAGCAGTTGGATATATTGCACTACCTAAAGATGTATGTTCTCGGAGCAGCCGGTTTAATGGGGTTTAGTTTTTTTTTTTGGTGTCCCCGGAGCCGGTTTAATGGGTTTTCGTTGAGCAAGACCAGTTTCGATGGTTCTTGAGCTTTGCTCAGTTCTTATGGGATGTAGAGCGGAAAAGGTCGTGCGCTTGAGCTTATATTTTAATCAGCTTCAGTAGAATTTTGGTTTCTTTGCTTTGTTTTTATTGCTTGCAAGTTTTTTCTATGTATGTAGTAAATATCCCGATGAGGATTATGAAACAATGTCATAATGTCATTCTCTATGGATTGGTATCTTATATAGTATTTTAATGTCTTTTCTGAAGCTAATTTCCTAAACTAGTTTCCCAAAATGTGGCGTTTGGCATGTTATCTCTTTCATGTTTTCGTTAGTTTAGCATTTTTTCATCTCTTTCTCCTTTACAAAACAATGACTAGAGGATAGAGCAACATTTTTATTGAATATCTTATGAAATATATTTATAACAGAAATGATACGTATTTTACGAGTACCTAAAATTATAAAAAAAAAAAAAAAAAAAAAAGCAGGACTCGGACCAAGTATCTTCTCGGTTGATCTTGGAGTTCAAGGTGAGAAACTTCCTTAGACCTGTTGTTTTATGATTGACTATGTATGTAGATTATCATCATTGTTTTCTTTAAATCTGTGTTTAATCCATCAACTCAATTCGAGACATGATTCTTTACTTAATAATTTATGCCCTTCCTCTTTTCTTTTTATAGTGTCATTCGTTATTTGATAACTTTTTAAAATTCAAGTCACTATATTTAGTATATAATATGCCGGTGACGTTTGACCATATCGTGAGTGTCGTGGTACGGATGAGCACGGGAGTCAAAGCTTATATTACTTTCATGGCAAGGAGTCTCCTGAAGGAGAGCTTGTCCAATATCAAGCTAAAGCTGAGCGGAAGGCTAGGCAGAGAAACATTCATGCCATCTTATGCAGACCAGCTTCTAAAGCCTAAAGGTGAGAATTAACTTCCTTAGACCTGTTGCTTTATTATTGGCTTTGTATGTAGATTATCATTTGCTTTCTTGAAATTTGTGTTTTAATCCATCAACTCAATTCGAGACATAACTATGGTAGGTAGGTTTCTGGAGGTCTATATCTATTAATATTCTTTAATCTCTCTTGACCCTCAAGAATATATATCTTAAGGAATGATAAGTTTCATCTGTTCAGTCTGTCCAACTTTTTTTGTTTGTTAATATGTAAATATATATATATATATATATATATATATGAAAAATAGATAAAAGTTCATTACAAAGGCTTGTGTGCTTTAGAGATCTAGAATTGTTACAGATTTCTTTGGCAATGTTTTGGGTTTTTATATAACCAGAAAATAAGGCATGAGCCATACGACACACTTAAGGGGTGAAATTCTCTCAATCAGGTGAGGAGAATTGGTCGGATTTGGTTTATAATCTGAAAATGTCTCGAAAGTTATTCTCTGTCTATGGTTATGTGATCCTTTATAATATGATATTTGTGATATTTGTAAAGCTGAATATAATAAATGGCAAAATTTTATGAAGTAACATTATAGCATACTGACGATATGTTTTCTTTTTGTTGCAAGTGTTGATAAGCAAATATCAACACACAAAACAAAACCGATCGAGAAAGGGCGAAACTTTACTTGATGTAAAATTTACTTCCCAACCATTTTGAAAACAACCACATACTATGTTGTTTACCGGGCCTAAGGACCAATCGGATAAAAACGATCGATATTAAAAATAACTGAAACAAAGGCTAACTTTAATAAAGTTTTCAACTGTGTAAAACTCGCTTTCGTCATTTTTGTGCATAGCTACAATCCTAAAAGACCTTATTAGCACCATAGGATGTAATAGTGAGCTGCGGTATTCATATACAAGATAACAAGGTTTGATATCTTATTTTTTCAAATAGTTTGTAACAGTTAAAAAACGATTTTCATGAATGCATGATTAAATTAATAAAAGTCATCAAACGACTTCATGGTCAAAGCATTATGTGAATCTGTTAAAAGAGAAAACATTAGATTGATTAGTAACCTCCAAATGGTTGAATTCCCACTGTTCTGGTGAAAATGTCGCAGATCAGTTCCAAACTTCTTATCAGCCTCAAACTGAAAAAAAAAAAAAAAAAAAAGAGTTTACAAATCAGGTTAAATGTTTACATTTCTTTTAACTGTTTGTTTCAAATAAATAAAAATAAATAAAAAAATGTTGTCAGTCATCGTTTCTGTGCAGCCAGGCCACCTACTCGCAAGGATCAGTTTGAAAGAACAAATTGTTTGGTGATTTTATTTGTTTCCCAGCAAATATATACACTAATAAAAATTCATAATAATATTTAAATAATGGCATATATGTAAATAGTACGAGTATAGAGGCGCCTAGAGTTCAGAATTAGGGCTACGTCTCATGATGTTTCATTACAGCAGATAGCTCTTGTTTTGTCTCTGAATGTGTGTATTGTACCATAAAGCTGAGTTATCACCCGAAAAATCACAGAAAAAAACGCAAAATCATGGATAAGTCACGTTAACACCCGAGTTATCGCCGATGAAGATGCGCGCGTAATCCTTCACTCCCAAATTGTTATCCCCAACTGTTCTGGATGAGGAAAAACAGTCTCCCATCCTTGGTGTAGCCATATCCAACTATGAGAAATTATATATATATATATATATATATATATGTGTGTGTAAATAATCCAAATAGAGTGAGAGAAATTATTGTCTATTAAATTAGTAACCTCCTTCGTGGCCTGGAATACATTATCTACGTGGAAGGTACGGCTACAGGCGATTCATCAACCTTTGCTCTAATAAACTCAGCTGAAGCATATGAGATAAAACGTTTCACCCATATATACTATATATGTATCTGCTTACAATACTCATTAATATAAGATCTTGCTTTCGCCGAAAAAAAAAAAGTAATACTGTTGTCATATATACTATATATACATATGAGATAAAACGTTTCACCCATCGATCAACATTAATTATCTGTCACGAAAATCTTATAGACGACAAACATATGTTTTCCTTCTTGTGTAGCATTCTAAAAGTAGAGCCCACGTGACAATACTGACGAAAGTAGAGATAACAAAAAGAAAAACAGAAGATATATATATATGGACTTGCATAATCTTTTTCTTGTTTAAATCTGTTTGTATATTATGTATATGTACATGCATGTATCATAAAACCGTGAATAAAAAACTTATAGAGTCGTAGGATATATATATATATATATATATATGTGATTTCGAAGAAGAAATGTCAACACGATGAACTATTATATATATATATGTGTATATGAAAAGTACTAAAAGTAAAATCGCTAGAAAATTAACAGATTAAATTTTGCAGCTTTAACTTGAAAAATGATGAGGACAATTTACCAAAGAGAGAGGTAAAAATAATTAGAACATGAATTAACGTACGGTCTAAAAAAAATTACCTAAGACTATCATTTACCAACTTAATTAAACGACTGACGTACGAAGTTTCATCACATCTTTTATTTAAATTTAATTTGTGTGTGTGTCTTTATATCTCGAAAGCGTTGGCGTGCAAAGTGTAGCGCTTTACTATTCCGATACATAATTAGCTTTGTAATTAAGATAAACCTTCCAACTATCGGTACGTAGAAGTAAATGGTTATATGTAAATCATTATAAGCAAATGATTGAAAAGTCGAAGGATAGACATATGTTTTCGTGAAAAGAAATGTTATACAACAAATGTGATTATCTTCAAAATTTGCCTCAACATAATTAAACATAAGTTTACTATACTAATGATAACCTAGTGTTTTGCTTGTTAAGCAAGTTAGTGGAACCAAATTCATACAAAGATGTTTATTAGGGCAATACAATATTTTTTCACCCGACGTCAAAATTAATTCATCTTGTGTGCATTTTAGATGACTGAAACGAATATATATGGAACTCTAGCTAGAAAGAATGGCAGATTTTATTTTTTAAGTAAAAATATTAATTCATGTACTAGTTCTGTTTGTGTGAAATCTTTTAATCATTTTAAAATCAAATGATATAGCTAGTTTGTTTAAAGGTTTGTAATAATTTTCATACACCACTTAGTGTCTTGACATGACTTTTGTAACAAGATTTGAGAATTAATTGTATATATGTGCCAATTATTTTGTAATGTACAGATTAAACATTAATTTTGGTCGCGGAAATCATATAAATGAATGTAAATATAGAAGTTGATGCTTCCTAAAGAAAAAAGTATACAGGTTTCATATATATATATATATATGCGTGTCTTTCCATTTTTGTGCAACCTAGGGGTGACAAAAGTAAAACATTAAAAAAAAAATATAATAGCAGAAGGAACGAGAATGCAGATGTGATAGTCATATTTTTTTTGGCTTCTATCTTAGAATATACTTATATCGTAACAAGAGACAACATTATAAAAAATGAAATTATTTATAGTATTTAAGCTATTATATATTTAAAGCACAAGCAGCACATCTTAATTAATGATATTTAAAGCGGGTAATCATTCATTCCAAAAACAGATGAGCTTGTAGAAGAGAAAAAAAAAATGAAACCTTGTTGTACTATTGGAGGGCTTATTTCATGACTTTTTTATAAAAAAAAATTGAAATGATCATGAGGGGATTGGAGAGAGCATAAGCATTTAATAGACGCCTGAAAAGAAGTTTTCTCGCAGATCCTCATGTTCCAGATCAACGGTCTGGACTTGATTTTCTAGATTTTTTTTTTTTCATAATATTTGATTTCTTACATCTAATAAATGCATACCTCTTCTTTAAATTGAATGAATAATATTAATGCATGTTGCTTTACTCCATTAATGCACATTTAAAAAAGAAAAAGTAATAATATAAATAATGAAATCAGTTATAAAAGTAACTTAATTAATAAAAATAAACAGTAAATAATTGAGCATTTATAGTTTTCTTAATCTGTGTGTAAATATTCAGAAAATCAATTATAATGAAGCAGAGGGAGTATTATTTAGTTTTAAAAGTATATATATTAGGTAGGCCTAAGAGCATATTATCCAAGATACGAGGAAAGTTGTAAGTAAATAAAAAAAAACATGGAACTAAAAAACAGCCAGAATTTTAACTTATCCATCTAGGTAAATCGATAGGGGGCGTTCATAAAACGTACAGAGAAAAAGTAGAGAGAGAGAGAAGAGAGAGAGAGAGCTCACCCCCCGAGAAAGAAAAGCGAGCGAGAGACAAGATAGAGAGAGAGAGAAATGTGCACGTCGGCGACATCAAATCTGGTACCGTCAACACCGGCGACATCGAATCCGTGCAATATAGTGTCTTTGGTATATAAAGCATATTCTCAACCCTAAAGGAGTAGGCCCTTTATGCGATAGAGCTTTTCATTTATTGAATTTTTTCTCTCTCTAATGGTCATGTTGATTGTGATTAGCATCTTACTGGGAATACTCAATGCCCTAATGGAGGTGTTGATCATATATATATATATGGTTATCGCAACTTATCATTTAGCTCGCCTCTTGCTATATGTATCTTGCTCTAATCGCTTTTTTTCATATATGTCATCCACTTTCAATATTTGTATCTTTTGTTTCTTAATATAATATTTCAATATACAATCTTATAGTCAGGAAAACAAGGCCGAATATGACACTAAGCATATTGATTCAAACTATTCTTCAGTGCTCTTCTAGGGTTATTGGTATGACATCTACAGCAAAAGAATGGGGAGCTATGCGACAATCTCGTACCAAGTCTTAATTAAATAATACGTTCATAATACAGCGAAAATAGTTCATAATGAAGGCTGTGCATGGTGTAGCGAGAAAACTTGCCTTTAAGAAAAAGACAAATTACACTGTAATATATACAGTATTTGTTCAAAAATGATAAATAGCTGTAGTGATTTTTGGTCAAAAAATGCAAAGTTTATTTTATAACAAAAGGAATTTATGTATCTCGTCACAGTATATAAAAGAGAGCAGTGCTAAGATCGAGTGAGAGAGAGAAAGAGAAAGAAGAAAAAGAAAGAGAAATGTCCGAGATCGAGTCCGACAACGAGCACGACCTAATCTGTAGGGTTCCGCCTCCTCCTTCCACCATCACGCCTCCTCCTTCCACTTTCACGGCGACGATGCAAGAGGATTCATTCCTGCAGAGAGACATTGAAGCAGGTTTGGTTCTCAGCGACGGCGTTGGTCTCCAAGGCGACGGCGTTGGTCTCCAAGGCGGCGGTGAAGATTCTCGCTCCCATGCTTCTCACTCTCGCTCCCAAGCGCTTCCATGGTGGTCTTTTCTCTCCTTGAGCTCTTGGTTTTTTAATCATCCTTCTCTATCAGACGACGTCATGGCGTCCCTCCTCAACCAAAACGCTAACGCAACTGACAAGGAAAACATTCCCAACCTGTCCGAAATTGACATTGATGACGTTGTTGGCGGCGCTCCCCAAGGTTTCCTCCAGAAGATGAAGGTCGTCTCCAGCTGCTTCGCTTCTCCAGCCACCACCGCTTCTCTTCTTTCTGGCAACGGATCCCGCGAAGCTCCTCCTCCTCCTCCTGGCAACGGATCCCGCAACGCTGCTCCTCCTCCTCCTGGAAACGGACCCCGCGACGCTCCTCCTCCTCCTGCCGCCGACGCCGAATGGTGGAATCAGTTTCTCAAAGAGTCAAACACCTTCATTCAGTGGCTGCTCACCAACCTTTCCCTCTTTGTTAACACCCATACGGTTAAGACGGTGGTGGTTGCTACCTTCTCCCTCCACGACATCTTTGAGGAGATCTTCTCTTCTCTCCCTGCACATTTCATCCCAACAATTTTTCTGTACACCGCCTTTTATTTTGGGGCAAAGGCGTTCAGAAACACCCGAATAAGATTAGGTTTCCGAGGAGCCAAATTTTGCGGATTGGGAGCAATCCTAGAGGTTCTGCTGTTTGCTGGTGCTGATATTTGGGAGTTTACCGCTGCTTTCGTGGTCATTTATGTCTTCATCTTCTCAATCTGCAAGGGTTTCTGGAGAATAACAAACTAATCTTATCAAGGTGAAAATCATTCGCAGTTGATTTTCCATGGTAACAGAATAATCACCTTAATAAGCAACCCTTTTTCTTGGAGCTTAAGTGGAAACGCAAACCCATAATTCAACAAAATGTCGACAGTTCCAAATCAGATAACAAAAAGAAAGCCAACAGTCATTAGAAAACAAAGGGAATCTGAGACTGAGAGGAACCATTCACTAAATATACAACTTAAGAGACCATAAGAGGATGAGTTACCTATGATGAGGTCGAAGTGGAGACAATACTTGCGTCTTATGTCTCAGAATCACAAAAGCTCTTCGCTTGGAAATAGGTTAGAAAGTGAACGGCGATACAGTTTAGGTCGAATGCAATATATTGAGTTTTCTCCCTGCTCAATCTTGACCATCCGTTGATTTTAATATCGTAATTTCAACCGTTGATTTAAGATTTCTTTTCCCATAAAAAGTTGCTGTATAATATGTATGTAATTATATATATAAACTCCATATTTTTAGATATGATATTATGAATGTCCGACAGAAAAAAACAAAAACAAAAAAATATCTAAAATCATAGATTTCTTTTTGTCGTATCTAAAATCTCTTATCGTCCGTGTCAGTCCTTCCCAGTTCCCAGGTACGTATTGGTTTCCCTAAAGCCTCACTTGAATTGTCTTTTAAGCTGGGGATTGAGAAAGTGTAGTCATTTGAATTTTTCTTATGCGAGACCAGTGATGGTCTCAAGAACAATGGGAGGATTCACGACAAACATTATTGGCACCCCTGGACTTGTGGAAGCTGGATATGTCAATCACAAAGCTCTCCAGTTAATCAAAGGGTTAGTAGTACTCTTTTGAAATCTCTCATATGAGAAACTCATTCTGTTTGTCATTACTTGGCTTGGTTGATTTTTGTTTCCACAAGCTCTGCATTGATGTGATTATGGGCTTATGTTATTCGTCTATGATTAACTAACTTAAGCACATACATATGTTCGTTTATGGGTTTCTTGTGAAATTGTGAATTAATATTCGTATCTGGTTTAGGCTTAACTTTTACTCAATGAGGGTTATTGCTCGGCTGAAGTTGTCAATTTGTGTACTTGTGTGTGTGTGTGTGTGGTTATGTTTCTTCCGATAATTCTGTGTATGGTGCTTACTCGTGAACAGAACCATAGATGTCTTGTGTTTGATGCTTACTTGTCGGATTTTGGGCAGGTTTCTTGTGAACAGAGCCATATATGTCTTGCTCTATGTTGATCGTTTGGATGTGTATAGAGTAGATGAGCTTGATAAGCAAGTTGTTCAAGCAATCACCCAAACCTTTGAAAAAGAGATATGGTGCAAAACCTTACTTGTTTTGACTCATTCTCAATTCTCCCCACCCGATGAACTTTCCTTTAAAACTTTTTCCTCCAAGAGATCAGATTCTCTCCTCAGCACTATCCGCGCTGGTGCTAGGATGCGAAAACAACAATTTGAGGTATGGTTTATACATGCCCGTCTTTGAAAATAGTCTTACCAATGTTTGGTTCATTTTGGGCAAGAATCAGTTATTCTCATTCTTCTTCTGGCTTGTAGGATTCTGCAATTGCGGTTGTATATGCAGAGAACAGTGGAAGATGCAGCAAGAATGAAAAGGAAGAAAAAGGTTTGGTTAATTCGAATCTCTGACTTGACCTGATTTTGGAGATTGTCAAAAATGGCTTATGTGGCTCTGTCTCGGTTTTATACAGTATGTGGAAGGAATCAGTGGACTAAGCTTTGAGAGTGGACTTAATGTTGCAGGTGGGTATTCCACATGCACTTAGCTTCCAAGAGTCAAAAGAGCTATGGGTTCGAGCTGATCTTGATGGAAATGGTGTGTTCGACTATGAAGAACTTAAGGTAAAATGAATGTAAACCAATTGGCGCAAAAACAAAGATCACAAACCGATAAAATGTTTCAACGAATCTAGCTAACGTTAATGAAGACTCTGATGTGTGTATGTTTGTGGTTATGTATTGTCAGAAAATTTTGGAGCATGACAATGATGAATCAATCTGGAAACTGCAAAGAGAGTGTGATGGAAGAAGGAGAAGAAGAAGAAGCAATTGGACTGAAAGTGAATAAAGCGTTTTTTGTTTCCGCAAGAAGCAGAGAAAGGATTGTGGCCGGAGAATTACAGTCTCTCAGATCACGCTTGTCTCACCGTACAGTTCTCACCGGTCAAAATGCTCTGTAGTTAAGTTTTGTTTATTATGATGGCTCTTGTAAATGTATAGAAGCAATGAGACTGAGATTTGCCACGCGAAGTTTACAAACCTCTGAAGTGTGTATACTTTTTGAACTTTTGTAATAGCATCACTGTTTATGATTTCATAAAATCTTTACTGGCAGAGAAACATTTATGCCATCTTTTGCAGACCAGCTTCTAGAACAATTTTGCTTATTCAGGGTTTTTAGTTCACTAAAGTTGTAAATGTTAGCGAAGATTGAACAAAATTCTGAAGTAGAAAATAGTTGTATTTCAAAATGTGATATACCACAAATTTTTTTTTTGACATAACCAAATCACCAGTACGGATACAAAATGAGACCTTTCTAATCGACAAAACATATTAGAAAACTATAAAGATTCAGAAAACTTGAACAAACAAAAAAAAAATGAAATCCTATCAAACCCTTCGCTCTTTGTTAAGTGCCTATGCTCTGGATCCTCCTCATCGACTCATTTTGAAACAATATTACCATACATTGAGAAGCTTTATATATTGATAGATGAAAAGGGTTTTAAGGTTTTTACAAAACTCATTCTAGCATCTGATCAGCAGACCCTTCGCCAACAGCTTTCTGGCTTTTCTTCTTCTTGCCTGTTTACATGTGGGTAATAATGTCTTGTTACTTCCATGATCGGCTTAATTGCATCAAGTAATCATAGGCTTTCAGATAAAATGCGCTTTGCAAACGCTCAAGGATTAATTACCTTTGTTCTTTAGTTTATTGAGTTTCAAGGTCTTCTTCACGCTAAATTTTCTGGGGGGTTTCTTGGAGTCTTCTGATGCAGCTGAAACCAGATAGAAGAGAACAGCTTTCATTTAAGCAAAGAAAAAATAAATAAAATGCACAAGAGTAAAAGGAATGCAAAGAAGCCTAAATAAATTTCATGGAATACAAAAAATAAACAAGTCATGGCGATTAGTGTGCCTTTCTGCTGTTTCGCAAAACGCAACAAAAAGGTTGAAAGAAAGATCAAGATGCAGAACAGAAATGACGTTTCTTTGAATATGGCTAACTAACTAAGCAAGAAGTTTCAGATTTTACATTGAGTACCAAACACAAATTAATTTATACAGTTACAGCTCGAATTGCTTGCATTTCTGAGTATTGAAGGTTAATCCTAACTGTTATTTCCCAAAGAAGATCATTAATGACAAACTTATTCCTAATGATCAATTAACACAACAAACAGCTCAGTAGCTTTTTTTTTCAGGATAAAAATTTACCTTCAGCAGAAGCCATCTCCACATCCTCCATAGTAACAAGACCCTTCTCCACCATCTCTTTCTGCTCCTGTTTTCAATCAAATAACGCTTTTTTTAAGGACTTTCTACTTAATTTTGAGAACTAAATCAACTTGGAAACAGAAGCTCTAATGGCACTAAAGCTTATACTATTAAAACTTAAAAGACACAGCTCCTCAAAGGCATCAACGATATAGAAGGAAATTCATACCCGGCGCCATTTTCGAAGGAGTTTTCTCTGACGTTTTCCGGAGACGGAGACAACCGGAGCTCTGGTCTTCAATTTATTGGTGAGGGGATCGCCGTGAATGGCTCGTTTTCTATCTGCTTTCGCCTCTCTCTTCTTCTTCGCTACCTCGTTAAATTTCGCCATCTCACCAAAACCTCTCTCGATTCAATCAACGCCTCCCACTGAAAACCTAGAACAAGCTGTCCTAAAACCCTAAATCCACCGTTTCCCTCTCCGGTTAACTTCAGTTGGGCTTTGACTTACTTTATTTGGGCTTTTTTCGATATCTTTTATTGTCGACCTGGTCTCGCTCTAATATTTTCCTGTCGCCGTTTATGCGGTTAAAATTAGATTGAGATCGCATAGTGGGGTGTCAACCATGTTTGATCCGATTCGATTTATTTTAATTTACAAAAAATCTTAGTTAAATTAAATTTAAAAACGTGGAATTATATATATATATATATATATATATAAAAGAGAACTATGTCAATTTACAATTTTATTTTAAAAAAGTTAGAGGAAATTATGATTTTACATTTTAAACATGTATTATTTGAGTTATGTAACTCTATATAAGTCATTCAGTAATTTCTGCTTTTTACAACAGTTCTTTTGTTCAGATTTCAAAATCAAAATGTGAGACGTCATAGTTCGCTCATAAAATCTTATTAGTATCCTATTCGTAATCGATCAACTGTAATGAACATAAGAGGCAGATCCAGGTTCCTAGAACTCTAACATCTATTATATCTCGCGTCAATGCATAGCTTTTGATTTATAAATATTTGTCCGTGGTTCTAGTTGAAGACAAAAATACGTATAATACACATTCAAAAGTAAACTTAGGTGAAGAAATTGGAAAGCTCTTAGCACATGGACTCCAGCTTCATACTCTCTCTCATTTATCAAAATTATGATCTCATCATGAGAGTGCATATATTAATAATGCATGTAAACTATCACATCATCTCTAGGATATATTGTTGTTATTCCTTTTGGTATTTTAAATTTTTAAAAATGGTAGGTATGATAAAAAGGCCCATATGGGTGCATGTGAAATGCTAAAGGACATATTATAAAGTTAAATTAGTGAAATTATTTTTCTTAGAATAATATAGGATGTTTGATAGAGCTGTTAAAAAAAAAAAAATATAGGATGTTTGATAGGATAAAGGAATTTAATTCGAGGTACTGTCCATCTAACTCGCGAAGTAACAACAATTGTTCGAGCAAACCCCTGCCTCTTTTATACTTTCAGAGGTAAAAGGGTTCGAGTGGTTTGAGTGAGGTCAAAAACTCAAAATGTTAGTAATATAAACAAATAAACGCAATACGAAACGGAATTTCTAACGAGAATATTTTTCTTATAGTTTGTTGTATGATCAATTATGTTGATTATTTATTCTCCCAATGTAAACATTTTTTTTATCATATATTAATGATCTTGGTTTTGGTTGTTCTACGTAAAACAAAAATAAAACAAAAAAAAATCTCCATCTAGCTCTATAATGCATAACTGAATCTCCTTAACAAGCAAAGTTCAAGATAATGCTACATGACCTCAAATGCCTTGGCTCAAATGTATATACCTAGGAAAGAAAAAACTCGATAATCCATGAATAGAAGACTAAAATGTTAAAATCCGGGTTAAAAGGATATGTACATTCTTAACATCCAACCCAAAAAAAGGATATGTAAATGTGTGCAATAGTTTAATGCATGTGTATGTCAGTGTGATATATATATATATATATATATATTTATATACATGCACGCAAGTGTCATGGATGATGGAACGTTCCTAATTGCAATTGGCAATGAACTTTCTTATTTGTCTTTAATTATGTTCTAACAACGTGGGAAGATTCTCTCACGACCATCATATTTCATGTGTTTTTTTAATTACGCCATTCGAAAGAAAACATTCTTTCGGCTAATGAAGACATTGCGAGAAATCGGTAAAGGATCAATCCAAAGACAAACGTTAATCGAATTAAAGTATGAATCCCGATCCGTTTAACTAGATATTAAGCATTTAATCTGCGGATGCATTAAAAAAACGTAGCAAATCGTGTTTAGAAAACCATCAATAACAAATGAAATGAACAAGTAGCATGGCACAAATTCACCAACTACCGATGCCGAAAGTATCTCGTCTAAATATTTTTTTTTGAAGAAAAAAATATTCGCCATCATTTCGTATAAATTAAGTGGACAAATGCGTGGCGCTTGTACCAAACGCATTTTCGAAGTATCGTAAGGCATGCATGATATAGAGTTATAGACCACTTGTGTACAGGACCCGACCTTTTATTATCATAAAAATCAACCGGATCATGTACAGGACCCGGCCTTTATGATCATAAAAATCAATTAACCGGACCATGTCTTTATAAAGACTTTGCATTTACTCACATTTAAGATGATCAATCTAGTTGAAGTTTTTTAAGTTAACTGATACGTTCTATCCACAACTATTACACTTTCAAAATCGTTTCGAAAATAGATTTTGGTTCTTTTAAAAGGGGTGGCAGATCAGCAAGTGGGAGTAAATGAAAAACTTGTGCCATGCGATAATAAGAATAAACAAGACAATTGCGATAATGTAAGCAATGCTAACAATGTTCAAATTGGTTTTTGTTATGATGATAAATTTTCCTTTACAAATATACCTGTATAGAAATCCATGAAAGTGACAAAGTTTTGTGTGTGAAATGACATGTAGAAAACGTCGTGTGTGTGGCGTCAATTGTCGTGAGGTGAAATTAATTTCTAGTAATAGTTTTAATAAAACAGTTTTATTCTGACTAATTGTTAACCATCTTTCAAAATGAAAATAGTTAAATAGAGCACTAAGTGAGACACATCCTCTGCCCATGTTTCACTGTCCCACTAATCCCTAATGAGGACAAAGCTTTACAAGTCACTCAGTGTCTTATGATAAGCTGTATATAATTAAACCCAAGATCCCACGATTACTTAATTATTATTTTAATCTCCTTTATCAGCACTTAGTTGTTTGATGTTACACAGATCAGCAAACATAATTTTTATAAAACTTTCAGGATATGATTATAAACTAGTGATTCTCGAGTTGTGTTTAGACTTTAATCTTTATTGACAAAATTTTCTATATGGGTTTGTTAATAATACAAAGTTGGCATCTAATTTTGTTTTGTCAAACACAATTCGCAAACTGTAAGTTCGTAACACACTTACAGTTCGTAACACACAAACATAGATGAAAAACGGATAGAAATACTTAGTAAAATACAAATTGTAATTTTCGCCAATGGAATTGGTACATTATTCCACCGATAAGAAAAGAAACACAATCATGATAAAATAATTGAGAGAGATTAAAATAAAATAAGATTCTGACTAATCATTGTTTTCCAGCTTTTCGTTTCTCCACTCTCCTGTATTCACCTTCTCTTGGGGACCTTCAATCTCAGTTAGTTGGCCTAAAAATGCGATAAAATTAGCCTAGCCAATAGTAAACAACCAGAAGAGCAAATGGAAATTCCTCAACTTTTCTTCCTCTTCTATTACATTGGTTTCTCTCTTGTCCCTTTTGTTTATTCTGAAACATTTCCAGGTTATGATGAACAAGAGATCTTGTTGGCCATCAAGTCAGACCTGTTTGATCCTTCAAATAATCTCAACGATTGGAAGAGGCCTGAAAATGCCACAGCATTTACTGCATCCGTTCATTGTAACTGGACCGGAGTTCACTGCGATTCAAATGGCGCCGTGGCTAAGCTTCTTCTCCCTAACATGAATCTCAGCGGAAACATCTCAGATCAGATTCAGAGCTTCCCTTCTCTGCAAGTCCTTGATCTCAGCAACAACGCATTTGAGTCTTCTCTTCCTCAGTCTCTTTCTAATCTCACTTCTCTGAAGGTCTTCGACGTGAGTGTTAACAGCTTCTTTGGAACCTTTCCATACGGTTTAGGAATGGCCACTGGTCTTACACACGTCAATGCCTCGAGCAACAATTTTTCTGGGTTTCTCCCTGAAGATCTCGGCAACGCAACTACACTTGAGGTTTTGGACTTTCGTGGAGGTTACTTTGAAGGCTCGGTGCCTTCTTCTTACAAGAATCTTAAGAATCTTAAGTTTCTCGGTCTGTCGGGAAATAACTTTGGCGGAAAGCTACCGAAAGTGATTGGTGAGCTCTCTTCCTTGGAGACCATCATTCTTGGTTACAATGGCTTCACAGGCGAGATTCCAGAAGAGTTTGGGAAGCTGACGCGGCTTCAGTACCTCGATTTGGCTGTCGGGAACCTTACGGGCCAGATTCCATCTTCTTTGGGGCAGCTGAAACAGCTTACAACAGTTTATCTCTACCAGAACTGCCTCACAGGGAAGATTCCTCGAGAAGTCGGTAATATGACTTCTCTTGTGTTTCTTGATGTGTCTGATAACCAGATTACAGGAGAAATACCTACGGAAGTAGCTGAGTTGAAGAATCTGCAGCTTCTGAATTTGATGAGGAATCAGCTCACGGGAATCATTCCATCAAAGATTGCTGATTTACCAAATCTCGAGGTTCTTGAGCTGTGGCAAAACTCTCTGATGGGTTCCTTACCGGTACATTTGGGCAAGAGTTCGCCATTGCAATGGTTAGATGTCTCATCAAACAAGCTAACAGGCGAAATCCCATCGGGATTGTGCTATTCCAGAAGCCTCACAAAGCTCATTCTCTTCAACAATTCATTCTCAGGTCAGATTCCAGAGGAAATCTTCTCATGCCCGACTTTAGTTCGTGTACGAATCCAGAAAAATCTCATTTCCGGAACAATACCAGCCGGTTCAGGTGACTTACCAATGCTTCAACATCTAGAACTAGCAAAAAACAACCTCACTGGTCAAGTTCCAGATGATATAGCATTATCTACCTCACTCTCATTCATAGACTTATCCTTTAATCATCTTTCATCCCTACCTTCAGCCATTTTCTCAAGTCCTAATCTCCAAACCTTCATCGCCTCACATAACAGCTTTGCTGGAAAAATACCTAACCAGATTCAGGATCGTCCATCTTTGTCTGTCCTGGATATTTCCTTCAACCATTTCTCAGGTGAGATCCCAGAAAGGATTGCTTCCTTTGAAAAACTTGTGAGTCTAAATCTTAAGAGCAACCAACTGGTTGGAGAAATACCCGAGGCGTTAGCTGGGATGCACATGTTAGCTGTTCTTGACCTCTCAAACAATTCTCTAACGGGGAATATACCACAGAGCTTGGGAGCTTCTCCAACACTGGAGATGCTAAACGTGTCATTCAACAAACTCACAGGACCCGTTCCTTCATATGGGCTGTTTGCAGGCATAAACCCAAACGATCTCGTGGGAAACGATGGCTTATGTGGTGGAGTTCTACCTCCTTGTCCTAAGAGCCTGGCTTTGTCAGCAAGAGGGGGGAATAAAGGGAGAATTCACGTGAATCACGCAATCTTTGGGTTTATTGTTGGAACTGCGGTCATCTTGTCTCTGGGGATGATGTTTTTAGCAGGGAGGTGGGTATACAGAAGATGGGATCTTTACAGCAACTTTGCCAGAGAGTATTTGTTCTGCAAGCAGCCTCAGGAGGAGTGGCCATGGAGACTCGTATCGTTCCAGAGACTGTGTTTCACAGCAGGAGACATCTTATCACACATCAAAGAATCAAACATCATTGGAATGGGAGCCATGGGGATTGTTTACAAAGCAGAAGTCATGAGACGGCCCTTACTCACAGTAGCAGTGAAAAAACTCTGGAGATCATCATCACCACAGAGTGATATCGAAGATCATCATCATCATCAAGAAGAAGAAGAAGAGGACATACTTAGAGAAGTGAACCTGCTAGGTGGTATCCGACATAGAAACATTGTGAAGATTCTTGGTTACATTCACAATGAAAGAGAAGTGATGATGGTGTACGAGTACATGCCCAACGGGAACTTGGGCACTGCTTTGCATTCCAAAGATGAGAAATTCTTACTCAGAGATTGGGTCTCGCGATACAATGTCGCCGTCGGAGTCGTTCAAGGGCTCAATTACTTGCACAACGATTGCTACCCGCCGATCATTCACAGGGACATCAAATCTAATAACATACTCCTCGACTCAAACCTCGAGGCGAGGATAGCGGATTTCGGATTGGCGAAGATGATGATCCACAAGAACGAGACGGTTTCCATGGTGGCCGGATCTTATGGGTACATAGCACCGGAGTATGGATACACACTGAAGATCGACGAGAAGAGCGATATATACAGTTTAGGGGTGGTGCTTCTGGAATTGGTGACTGGGAAAATGCCGATAGATTCTTCGTTTGAGGAATCGATTGACGTCGTCGAGTGGATCCGGATTAAGATGAAGAAGAACGAGAGCTTGGAAGAAGTGCTTGACACGAGCATCGCCGGGGAGTGTAGACACGTTATCGAAGAGATGCTTCTGGCACTACGAATCGCTCTTCTATGCACTGCGAAGCTCCCAAAAGATAGACCATCGATAAGGGACGTCATCACGATGCTCGCGGAGGCGAAACCACGCCGGAAAAGTGTGTGCAGTTCCGCCGGAGACATGCCGATTTTCAGAAACTCGCCGGTGGTAGGATTGATTTAGAAGGTCGGAGGACGTAAGGGTATTTTTGTCATTCCTGGGACCTTTGGGAGTTTGGAGAGAAGAAGTTGTGTCGAGTCCATTCATAGTAATTGATTGTTGAACTAAAGCCCATATTTTCAAAACTGGTCCAGGAATTGTCTATTTACTAGGACAAATAAAAAATTAAGGGCTATTATTGTAAATAAAACATCTAATAGAAGAGAAAATGTCAACAAAATATAAAATTTCCGAAATTTGCAAAAAATAAAATAAAAAGGAAGTATTAAATATTCTTAAGTAAAACATTATAAACTTAATATTCTAAAAAAATTTAAAACTTGATTATCCATATTGTTAAAAGAAAATGTCAAAGAGATTACTAACACCTACATCTTTTCTAAGAAAAAAAAGAATAATATGAATTATATCTTAACCAAAAACATCATAATTAAACTAGTATTTAAAACATTATGTATTGGATAGACTTTAACATAAAAGTTTAAACATTTTTTAAGCATTGAAGTCCACACAACTAGTATTTAAAACATTATGTATTGTATATTTAAAAAATTATTTAAATAAAATACATTTATCAGAGACTTTTTCAATTATTTTTATTTTTATAAAGATTTTTTTATATATTTTTCTCTTTTTCACTCTTCTCTAAATCATCAAAATAAACTTAATTTTGATTCGGTAAATTGTAAGTAGTTAAATTAATTAAACTTTTTTATTTTTCAAAATCTTAACATAATCACATTGACTATATAAATTATTCTTTGATCCAATTTAGTATGAAAAATTCCTAAACTAGTAAATAAGAATACTTTCCCTCTCTCTATCCCTCTAAAAATACATATTTATTTGAGTTTCTGATATAATTTCTGATATTTGCAGATTAGATAAAAATCTTTTAGAAAAAGGCAGTAATAATTTCTTAAAACATCCGAAACCAAACAATCTCGACACGTCTCACCGCGGCGAAACGTTTCGATCGCGACCCTCCGTTACCGGCGATTTGGCTCCCCAACCAAACCCTAGCAAAATTCTTCTCTGATATCTCTCTCTCCCTCTCCCTCTGCACTGAGAGTCTCTGCCTTCGCACTAGGATTCTCCTACTTGGTAAGCCTCTTCGCCGCAGCCTTAATTTCGTCGTCCTTTCCACGCGCGTGAATTTCGTTTTGCTCTCTCCTTTCTTCTTCATTTACGCGTTTGTCCTATGCTAAATAAACTAGTTCCGTTCTTGCCACAAGCAAAAAAAAAAAAAATGTAAATTCTGCTTCTGCTATCAGACTGGAGTGGTTCGTAGATCTTGGGAGTGTTTAGTATTCTCTGTCTGTAGATAATGAGAGGGCATAACCTGATCGGAACTTAGGGCTTAGGCCAGAAAACAATGTCTTACTTTTAATTACATTTCTGTTGTTCTTTGTAATCTCAAACTTTCTGTGTTAGGAAATAGGAGTTATAATGAATTTATATTCCGCTCTTAGGCTTACATGCTATTCCAATCAGAATTCGGTTATATCCTGTTCACAATGTCTAAGGCGGTTATGCAAACTATATATGTTGGGGAATCTCATATTGACGATAGATTGTGACCTTATCAAATATCTAAGTGACATGGCTAATCCACTCCTGGTAGATTGACAATATCTTGTCCTTGATCTTGGGTTACTGTGTGCTAGAGCTGGAATTTTTAATCTAACCATAACTTAATCTACCAGGAGGTGTGCTCAATGTTATGATCAGTAGGGAGTGGATGAAAACTCCTAGAAATGGAGGCAAGAGAGGAAAGATCGAAGCAGAAAGATGAAAAGCTAGAAGAAAACAAGGATACAATGGCGCGGAAAGAAGAAGAGATAAGTGTAAATGAAGAAAGAATGGAGGTAGAACAAGAGGAAATAGAGGCGGAGCTTGAAAATGTGGTAGCAAGAGTTGGAAGAGGGGAGCAAAAGGACGAATCGATGGAAGAACACAACAATCAAGATGAGCAAAAAGATGAGGAGATGCACGATACTGATAGTAGATCTGAAAGTTCTGTTTCTTTTTCGGATGAAGATGAACAATTGCCGGCCGCACATGATGATGAGTTGGATCTTGAGGTAAACAGATTGGATATCTGTTGGTCAGTTTTCTTTATTTAGTGGCAGCATGACTGAGAAAGAGCGTATGTTTATCTAATATAGCTTTTAACAAATATTATGCAGAAACCTCTGAGTGAGGAAGAAATAGAAGAGTTAATTTCAGATCTTTTGGGAGTGGAGAGTAAGGTATTTAATCTCTTTACTTTGTTCAGTGGAGATCTTGGTAGGCCTTATTAACTTCCAGTTCTAAATATCTCTCTCTGTGATTCCGCATTGGTCTTTAGGCTGCAGAAGCTCAAGAAGCACTTGAAAAGGAATCTCTTTCTAGAGTAGAGAGTGAAGTGAGGGAGGAATTAGCACAAACACTCGATGGTGATGAGGTTAATTACTTTGCCTACTATCATAGCTCCGAGTTCCTTTGTTTTTTCCTATTAAAATTCTTGGAGCGTGCCTGTTTTAGCTGGATAAAGCCGTGGCAGCAGAAATGATGACTTTTAAAGACGAATGGGAGGCAACTCTTGATGAGCTTGAAACCGAAAGTGCAAACTTGTTGGTATGTTCGTTTTTGCGTCCTCCATTTTCAAAAAATATAATCCAAAGGTTTATCTTTCATTCAAAAAGAACGTACGAATTTATGTTCTCCTTTTGTTTCATTCTCAAAGGAACAACTTGATGGTGCTGGAATCGAACTTCCAAAATTGTACGAAATGATTGAAAGTCAAGCCCCTAGTGGTTGCTACACTGAAGCTTGGAAACGAAGAGCTCACTGGGTCGGGACTCCAGTAACAAAAGAAACTGTGGAATCATTGGCTAATGCAGAGAATTTTCTTCACACTCACCGGCCAGTCCGAAAGTAGGGTTTGCTTATCTTTAACTTTTAGTTAGTGCAATTACTCCGACTGTCATGGATGGTATATCTAAACATTTCCTGTTGTAGACGACATGGAAAGCTTTTGGAGGAAGGAGCTAGTGGGTTTCTGGAGAAGAAGCTTGCTGATGATGCTGTTAAAAAGTGTCTAGGTGGAACATCTGAGCTTGACTGGTCGTCTCTCAACAAAGTTTTTTCGGAAAAAAGGGACGAGGCTATTTCCTTCGGTAGTAAGCATTGGGCTTCTGTTTACTTGGCAAGCACTCCACAACAAGCTGCAGCCATGGGATTAGAATTTCCAGGAGTCAATGAGGTTAATATTTCATTTATGCCTTTATTTTCCCTGATAGTCCTGATGCTGATGATGATTTCCGTTGTTTCATCGGTTGAATTTCCTTCTCTCCTAGTAAAAAGCATTAAGTTTCTGCTTGCAAGTCACTAATTTAAGGTCCGTTGCTATTCCATGATTACACTGTATAATGTAGGTTTTCATTCTGATAAAAACATTAGGCCAAGCTGAAGTTGAAAAAGAAAAGAAAAAAAAACATTAAGCCAACTTCGTAAAAGCATAAACAAATTTTGAGCTTTAACTTGGGTTATCATTAGTTGTAACAGAGTAGATGACGCAGGACATTTATACACAACCTTGGGAGGCAAGTTATGTTTGAAGATGTGTTTCTTCTCTAGTTTAACATTTGGAGATTTCAATGTATAGGGCTTTATAATTCTGTACTGGTTGAATACAACTTAATAAAACTTCTGGTAGTCCAGAATGATTATCATAGTAATTTTTTTTCTTTTCCAGGTGGAGGAACTTGAGGAGATTGATGCAAGCCTGGCAGACCCTTTTATTGTTGATGCAATAGAAAACGAAAGAGAACTTGCCCTTACTGAAGAACAAAAGAAAAATTATATAAGGGTATTATCGCATGACTTAACTTCTTCAATTCCTGTGAATTCGCATCCTACTTTTGAAAGTATTACCTTTTCTAGCTGCTCTTTATGTTCCTGCTTTTGCAGAGTTTGCATTTTAATCTATATTTTTAATACTATTTAAGATTACTCCCGCCTTACCATTTATCAGCGTGAGCATGACATTAAATGACCAACAGGTCAAAGAAGAGGATGATATTAATATTGATCGTGAACTTCAACTTCGTTTGAAACGGAAGAGACGCAAGAAAAGATCTAAACAGGTCCGTTTTGCATATTTTTCCAGTTCCTTCTGGTAATGTAGCATCTATTTGATTGAAGACGTCTTGGTGTTCAAAGTAACATAGAGTGTCACCGATTATCTTTAGGGGATATCATTCTTCGTGAGCCTGATTCTCTATAATTAGTCTCATATATAGTTTGTTTTCGCTACAACTTTCTCCTAGTTAATATTAATGGTTATTATGGAACATCATTTACTGAGGAATATACATTCCTAGGGAAAGTGCCTGTGATTTAAATTATCCATCTTGTTGCTCGATTGTCAAGTGATAGTTCTGTCTTGTGTTAAAGCGTGATTTGGGGCTTTTGGTGCCAGCGTTTTGGTGTCTGAAGGAATTTTTATTTGGCTCGCTTGACTGTTGTCATTTGGTTTTATTTCAGGTTATCAGTCACGCGGCAGAGCGTAGAGATAACGATTCTGCATACTTGGAAGGGAACTCTATTGCCTCAAATCCTGATGAAGGTCAAGTAAAAAGTCCGGAGACTAGCACTCAATTGCAAAATAACGATGTCAACAAAGAGGAAAACGGGAATTTATCTAATTCAGATGTAGATAAGATGGTACCGATCATAGATTTACATGTAGATACCATGACAGATGATTCACAGAATCCAGCAAACAATCTGAGGTGTACTGCCTGTAATAACGTAGTTGTGGAAGTGCATAGTCATCCCCTTTTAGAAGTAATAGTTTGCGTCGATTGCAAACGTTTAATTGAAGATAGAATTTTTAAGGTATGTTTTTCTTCCTTCAATCGTATGCGACTTACAATGCATTTGCGTATGGGTCGGAATATAGCTAGATATTAGAATCTTTACCGTGCTGAATAGCATGTTACATAGAGAGCTTCAGTATGATTGTTATTTTGGATAATTCAATGTGCACAAATTCCGGGCGACTGCTCATGGTGATAACAGGAA